GTCACATCTTTAGGAGGCATATATCTTTAGTTTTACGAGATATTCAGAAGCTGAATTAATATAATAGTAAAGGATTACATGTTTAAATTTGCTTTAATGATATATGTATACAAAAGAAATCTAGTCAAATGAAATCTGTACACTAAGTACTAATCATAAAATATATGTGTACTGGACAATTTCCTTCTACAGCTATTCTTTTAAAAAATATATTAATTTTATAGAAAAGGAGAGGGAGTTTTTAAATCTGACAACATTTCTACTATCTCCATCCTAAAAGATGTGCTTTCTAAAGAAGCTACAAAAAGGAAAATTAACCTCAACATATCATACGGTAAAGAAACAAACACAATTAATAATTCTTTCTGATGTTTATTTTGTGTTGTTGTTACATTATTAATGTTTCTAATCAAAGTGATTTATCTAACTGCATCTGGTCACCTCCTTCTAGAGATAAATGAAGTATCAGTCCAACACACTTTAAAGCTAATCCACCCAAAGCTGGAGTACCAGTTGCTTTTGGCTAAGAAAGTGCAGTTAATTGATGCTTTAAAAGTAAGTACATGTGTTGTCGTGGACTGGTGATTATTATTTTAAGTCACAGGATTTCTAAAATTATCATTACTTTAACATTACATTGGATTGAATTTTGAATATTAAGGTGCTTCTGTTTTTAATTTTAAATAAGGAATTGCAGATTCATGAGGGAAATATGAACTTTTTGATACCAGAATATCGCTGTATTCTAGAAGAGGCAGACCACCTACAGGAAGAATACAAAAAGCAACCTGCACATCTTGAAAGACTCTATGGTTAGTGGACCATTCTAGAATACCTTGCCATATTTCTTTTCAACTGGCTATTTCCCAAGGATCATGTAAGAGAAGCTGGGCAGAAAGATAAAAAGATTACATCAGTCATGATTCATGAACCAGTCATGAATCAGTTGACAACCAATTTATTGCACAGGATATTTCTGTCTTTTGTCAAGCCACTTTTAATATTTAATTCTTTTACTTGATAAAATACAAGTATATTAAGAAATAAGTATACCGTGATGAATTAATCTATATATATGAACAAACCTGGTATAAAATGAATGTAATCTATGAACCTTTAGAGCTTAGACTGTATTTCACACAAATATTTGTCATGTTTTGTTGCTATTGTGAAATATAAAAATGCAGCATTTAAAAATTTTAAGGCAAAATTTAATAAAGGATATACAGTATTCGTGTTGTGTCAATTTACAATTCCAAACTTACTTTGGTGGTGAGAAGTTGAATGTTTCACAAATTGTATTGAAACAGAGTAAAGGAAGTGAGGGGAGGGAAAGAAGGAGTGAGGAAGGAAGAAACAGCTTAAGACAAACAATTTTATTAGCAATCTTTACATAAGACCTGTTGTATATAGCACACTATTTACACTGTCTTCATAATCAGGTGAGATATTTAATCCTTACAATAGCTCTGCAAGGTTAAGTGGTATTATCTTCATTTTTCATACACTTTAACTGAAATCTGAGTCTAAGGAATTTGTTGTCACCCAGCAAGCTAGTGATAATGCCTGCATTAGAATCTTCTCACTCCAAAATGCATGCCTTTTACACTATGCCAAGTCTTCCATAGTCACTATAGAGCCAATTGGTATCACTAGTCCACACTGATCCTTAAGTCTGCCTACTGAATTTCTTATTATATATCCAGAGACTTTCTTGCAAACTGTGGCTGTATTTAATGTCTTAACCTTTATTACATGGCAAGCACATGATCTCTTTTATCCTTGTAATAACTTATGAGATTGGCTGTACATAACATCACTGATTGCAAAATCCAGACAGCTTTGTAAATCGGTTTTTTTCATAAATAATTTGACAGCAAAATCTTGACTTAATCTGAATTAATTTAATAACAAAACTTGACTTAACCTGACAGGAGGTTTTTTTTTTTTTTTAGTGTTTTCCATTTATAGTTTCTTTTTTTTTTGAGACAGAGTCTTGCTTGGTCCCCAGGCTGGAGTCAGTGGTGCAATCTCGGCTCACTGCCACCTCTGCCCTCTGGGTTCAAGCAATTTTCCTGCCTCAGCCTCCTGAGTAGCTGGAATTACAGGTGCGTGCCACCATGCCCAGCTAATTTTTTTGTACTTTTAGTAGAGACGGGGTTTCACCAGATTGGCCAGGCTGCTTTTAAACTCCTGACTTCGTGATCTGCCCACCTTAGCCTCCCAAAGTGCTGGGATTACAGGAGTGAGCCACGGTGCCCAGCCCAAAGTTATATCTTTTTTATTCCACTTAGTGCAAATATTCATCCATATATTTTGTGACAAATAGTACTATGTTTTGCTATTGAATGCTGCCACTCAGTCCCCTTGGGGTTAATACTATAGTATATTCCTTTCATTATCTTCCTAAAATAGGAAAAATTCTGAAATACATCTTGCATCAAGCTTTTTGGATAAAGGATTTACAGCTTGAATAATTCCTGTTTTACATATGAGAAAACTCAAGGCGAAATGATTTGCCCAGATCTTTGAACTTAGGACTATTTGCCTTCAAGTCAAATCCCAAGAATGGTCAACATGTAGATGGAATATTTTAATTCAGATAAGCTGTTAAAAATAGAATCTGCCTACACTATGTCAAAATGGTCTGCTTGGTGGAAAAAAGATACCACTTGTTGTGATATTATATATACTGATACCAGTTCAAAAATGACCAGTAGTTGATTGTCTGAATTAATAGCTTGTAATCAATTGTTAAGAGGGTTATTAGGCAAACTATTTATATCTTGAAACTTGTTTTAAAGTCCCCCCAAAATGAATATTTTTAAAAACATCATGGCTTTTAGGTTTGTGTATGTTAAATAATGGAATTACAGGTGCTTAAAAATAGATTATCAAGCAATTACTTTAGTGAAATACTGTATAATTAAATATAACTAATCACTGACAGGAAATTTATGTTTTTTCTTTATAGGCATGATCACTGATCTTTTCATAGATAAATTTAAGTTCAAAGGCACCAATGTAAAAACTAAAGTACCCCTTCTATTGGAAATTCTGGACAGTTATGACCAAAATGCATTGATTTCATTCTTTGATGCAGCATGAAATACAAATAAGGTAAAGTCCCAAAGAAGTGGTCTGTTTAAATGAAAAATGTTAAAACAGAATTAGAAGTTAACTGTGTACATACTTTAATTTCAACTGCTTTTTTATATCTAAAAATATTTGAGATATAATGGCTTTTTAAAGTAATGCTTCTGTTTCTTTTGATAAGTTGAACTTTCTTAAAGAGTTTTTATTTTTAAAACACAAATAGAATGATTTAAATAGGATTTTAATGAATTTTTGATACGTGGCTGTTTTAATTTTTAAATTGAGAAGTAATATGTGGAAAATGAAAATATATTCAAATGTATTACAAGGTACATAAACACATAAATATATAAACTGCTTTATAGGTTTCAAAATGTATTTTTATATATTACCTTATTTGATCTTAACAACTGTTGTATAAGTTTGTCAAATCATATAAGAAAACTGATTCTCAGTGAAATTTTGTGATTAAGAGGACATGCTAGTATTTTATAAAGCTGGGACCAGAACCCAAGTACTGGTACTTGCTTTGTGTCCTGGTTACTATGTATGTTGCCAGCTAGTGGAAGTAACCTACCAATTATTTTTTCTAGGAGACAGGATTGATTTGCAACTGATTTTCCTTTTGCTTGGTGATGTTTTATGACTCTGCTGCAGTTTGTGGAAATGCTGGACTTGGCTCAGTGCTATAAATTGTAGTCAGGGAAATAAGAAGAGCTTACACAGAGTCGGGGGATCTTAACTAGACATGCTGTAACCAGTGGAGCTATTCAAGCATGCTACAAGTGAAGAGTGCAGAAATAGTGATGCCATCTTAGATTTTCCTACACCAGTATGATCTCTTATGACATTAAGGCTACAGAAGTTTTGTACATTAATTCATATTTATTAATTTCAAAGAAATATTGAAACGTCTTAAAATGGCATAAAGATAATGGAAAATAAGCTTTGTTTCAAGAAGGGCAGACTCACTAATTTTTTAGAAAACAATGCTTCTTAATGATATGCTATTATACTTACTAGGTACGTGCAAGCTTTGTATATAAATATAAAAATTTGTTACAGGCACATATAGTTAAGATAATTTTATTTTAATAAGATCATATTGTTTTTACTATATTTAAAGAAACTACTTCTGAAAGGGACATAATTATATCTAGGTCACTAGAATGTCATTGTATTTTTTGTTGGCTGCCACAGCTTGGGGAAAAATAGATAAAAATTAATGACTCTATTTGAATATTTTGTAATGCATTGCTATTTATTATATATATATCAACAGTAGTTTAAGGTGGCACTTAATTGCATCTTCATTAGGAAAAATAAAAAGCATAAAACACAATTTCTGGTTACTATGAATAAATGCCTAAATGTTAAGATGATATTACTACAGTCTGATACTTGAGTACTGTATTACTGTGTGAGCTCCGTGTTAATTTATGCACATTATTTAATCCTAACAACCGTATGACTGTAGTTATTAGTCCCTATTAACAAATAAGAAAACGGAGAATCGGAGATACTGAAAAACGTGGTCCAGATTTTAGACCTTGAGAAAAAGTCACTTGAGCTAACTAGAGGTCCCAGAGCTAAAGGCTGGGCAGCCCAAATGTTAGTCGCCAAAGTTTAATTCCGTTTAATTCCCTAAAAGGCTTAGAGTCAGCCTTTGGACCGCCTCGCTCTCTAGGTGGCTCAAAGTAATCGGAAGCTCGGGCCCTGAGTACCCCTACCTCTCCCCGACCCGCGCAGGCGTTTTCTCCCGCCCCAGCCCCAGTTCGTTTCTCTCTCCTGCCCCGCCCCTGCTCAGTTTCCTTTGGTGCTTCCTTCACTAGCTTGCGACCCTGTCGCCTCGAATGACGTCAAGGCCGCGAGCGCTTTCATTGGTCCATTTCAATAGTCGCGGGATACTTGAACTGCAAGAACAGCCGCCGCTCCGGCGGGCTGCTCGCTACATCTCGGGGTGTCTTTGGCCCGCCACGCCCGGCCGTGCCTTCCTGCGCCTTTCGCAACCTCCTCGACCCTGCGTGGTCTCGAGCTGGGTGAGCGGGCGGGCGGGTAGGCTGGCCTGGGCTGCGACCGGCGGCTACGACTGTTCTTTGGCCGGGTGGGCTGGGCAGAGTGCACGCTGCTTGGCGCCGCAGGCTGATCCCGCCGTCCACTCCCGGGAGTAGTGATGTTGGGTAACTCCGCGCCGGGGCCTGCGACCCGCGAGGCGGGCTCAGCGCTGCTAGCATTGCAGCAGACTGCGCTCCAAGAGGACCAGGAGAATATCAACCCGGAAAAGGCAGCGCCCGTCCAGCAACCGCGGACCCGGGCCGCGCTGGCGGTACTGAAGGCCGGGAACCCGCGGGGTCTAGCGCAGCAGCAGAGGCCGAAGACGCGACGGGTAAAGGGATGCGGGATATCTGCAGGAGGGTGGGTCGAGCAGGGTTTGGCACTGGCTTAGCAGGCAGAGAAAAGTGGCGAGAAGGCATGTCCTGGGCTTTTGGAAGGGGGCCAGGGTCTGGAGTCCACCTGGTGCGGGTGTGTGGGATGCCACAATAGGAATTCTCCCATCATTAGCATCAGGACCCCGCCAACACTGTGTATGCTGCCTGTCTGCTCTCTATAGGTGGCATCTGCCTGTACATAATGGGGTCAAACCAAGCTCTAAAACGTGTAGTCTTCGCTCAGCTCCGCGCGTTTCTCTCCACTTTTAAACCCCAGGCACTACTGTAGGACTCTGACCCCCTTCCTCCTCACGGTTAAGAGGTAACCTCTACTTTAGAAAAGGGTGTACGAAATAACTTTGCTTTTGGCAAATTCCGCCATTTTAGCCGGATTTGCTCTGTTGCTCCACCCTCGGGCGACAGTGGTGAACCAACACTTTTTTGCCATGTCTTTCCTAAACTTGTCATGTATTGACTTGCCACCCGACCCTTCTTGTGGCCCTGATTAGTTTTGCATAATTCCACCTAGTGTTATCTATTGATAGCCTTTGTGGGAATGCCTGTGACAAATGGGAACATCCCTTCTCTTTTGAATACTCAAACCATTGTCCCAGAAAGTTTAATTCCTGATAGAGTATTTGGGAGAAAAAGCAAAGGCCAACACCCATAAGAGAAAGAATGCAAAACTATTTAGTAGGCTCAAAGCCAGTTATTTATTTTTGTTTAGGTTGCACCCCTTAAGGATCTTCCTGTAAATGATGAGCATGTCACCGTTCCTCCTTGGAAAGCAAACAGTAAACAGCCTGCGTTCACCATTCATGTGGATGAAGCAGAAAAAGAGACTCAGAAGAAGCCAGCTGAATCTCAAAAAACGGAGCGTGAAGATGCCCTGGCTTTTAATTCAGCCGTTAGTTTACCTGGACCCAGAAAACCATTGGTCCCTCTTGATTATCCAATGGATGGTAGTTTTGGTAAGTTTTAAGGAAAATCTGTATGAATTTACGGTAATTATAATTATTAGATATTGATTTGCATTTTAAGATGTCTTATGTAGTCATTTTGATTACAGTGAGTTAGGTTTAATGTAACAAGGCTTAGAAAGGATGTGACTTATCTCAGATCTCACAGCTAACACTCGACCTGATGATGTACAAAAGGATCCTAATCTAGTGCTCTTTCAGGTTCACTGCCAGTCACATCAGTCTAATTATAATTAGATCTTAAATGCTTATTTTAATCTGCTCCCATAAATGTGTTCTTGGTTGGGAGAATAGATTTCAGTTTTATTTAACTCACTTACATATCACTTAGAGAGTGCTATTTGAAGATGCAGTCTTAAATATTGTGATTACATAACATTTCTTCCAGTTTTATAATTTTGTTTCTATAAAACCAGTCTGGATTATCATCTGATACCAGAAAGTGACACTCTTCCTCCTACAAGTAAACAATTGTACCATGGCTGTTTACTCTTACCCATGTATTAAAATAGCTGCTGCAAACAGCTCTTTGCAGTTTGTACTGTTTCTTTGCCCTAGGGATATCGAGTCACTGGACAACTCACTAAATCCAGTCTCATTTTAGTTTTAGTTGTATTGATCGTGGGGAAGGAGGGGTGAGCAGGAAAAGTCCTTTGGAAATAATAATTTGTGTGTTTTTATCAAAATTTTGCAGAAAATGTTTAATCTCAACGTGATCTTTGAAGCGAAAAGAATAATGGATGATACTCTTTGCTTCAAAAGATAATTTGTACTACAAAAAATAAATTATTTATAGTGTTAATCCATTTGCCCATAACAAACCTAATTTCTTAATAACACTTGTTAATGGAGGCCATTTAACTGATTCTAGCTATCGCCTACTTGGGCTTTGTATGTCAGACTCTGGGATCTGACGTCTCTCTTAGGGCAAATCTTAGATATTATCTCAAAACTTGGATTTTAAGTGTTCTGTCCTAACAGAACCACCATGCCATCTGCTCCTTTCTGTTGTGGAAGATGGATACTTTAAGATAATACCTGATTCTCATTTTCCTGTTAGGGGCCTACCAATATGGTTTTCTTTCCCCCTTCATTAACTAAAATCATTCCAAAGCTATATGTACAGAGATACTGAGACTAAGGTAAAATATTCTACCTTTTTGGTCATGAGAAGCTCTTTTTAGTTTGATGAAATAAGTGCTTTGTTAATATGAAATTCCTTACAAGGGCAGTCATTTTTAGCTATTAAACTAAGTAGACAAACAATTAATTTAATCATATCTTTTTAATTGTCCCAGAGTCACCACATACTATGGACATGTCAATTGTATTAGAAGATGAAAAGCCAGTGAGTGTTAATGAAGTACCAGACTACCATGAGGATATTCACACATACCTAAGGGAAATGGAGGTAAAGGTTCTCTGAATCCAGTTTGTGTAATGTATTTGTTAAATGTGGCTAAATGAAATTGAGAGGATAATGTTTAAATTTTTAAACTAATGAATTATTCTAATGCTACAGTTAAGTTTATAGCATGTAGCCTCTCTTAATTGTAAAATAATCTAATTGCAATTTTAACACTACTAAATACTTTTTTCAATAGGTTAAATGTAAACCTAAAGTGGGTTACATGAAGAAACAGCCAGACATCACTAACAGTATGAGAGCTATCCTCGTGGACTGGTTAGTTGAAGTAGGAGAAGAATATAAACTACAGAATGAGACCCTGCATTTGGCTGTGAACTACATTGATAGGTTCCTTTCTTCCATGTCAGTGCTGAGAGGAAAGCTTCAGCTTGTGGGCACTGCTGCTATGCTGTTAGCCTCGTAAGTCTACCTTGGTTTGTTTAAAAGTGATCACGATCTTTTGTCTAGGGAAGAAATTGATTTTTAATGGTGACCTTTTAACATACACCAGGCAGAGAGTCAGTGACTACTTTAGGGATGGCAATGTGGTGGGGTTGGGGAAGTGGAGGAGGATGAAACTGTTCTAATCTATAACACTGTTTTTCCCCAAACTGGATTCCTTGAAGACGATATAGTACACTAGGTTAGAAATTTTAAAACATTTTCCTTCCAATATTACTTTCTGGCATATAAGCAGTGTCTCTTTTATTAAGAAGTAAAGGCTGGGTGCAGTGGCTCGTGCCTATAATCCCAGCAATTTGGGAGGCCAAGGTGGGCGGATCACTTGAGGTCAGGAGTTCGAGACCAGCCTGGTCATCATGGCGAAACCCTGTCTTTACTAAAAATACAAAAATTAGCTGGGCATGGTGACACATGCCTGTAATCTCAGCTACTGGGGAGGCTGAGGCAGGAGAATCGCTTGAACCTGGAGCGGGGAGGTTGCAGGAAGTTAAGATTGGACCACTGCACTCTGGCCTGGGCAAGAGAGGAAGACTGTCTCAAAAAAAAAAAAAAAAAAAACACTAAATTTAAAAATGAAAACATGAAACATGTTTTCCTAAGATTTGTATTTCCTAAATTTTCAGCTACTTGGTGAACTCTGGCATTGTTCCCATCTTGAGAACAATGCCTTTCATTTACTTCCTTTGACTGAACTGGGAAAAATCTCTCAAAAGTCCTTTATTGATTTGGGCCTTTTAATTAGCAATTAGCTATCCAGTCTTTACTAGAAATGATGATCAAGTGTCTGGAAATGCAGTTGGTATGGATTTTGGATTCATTCCATATATTCTGCTAATGGGATTTCAGAATTGGGATAAGGAAGCTTGCTTCTCTTTTAGGACTGATTACTTAAAACTTTTTTCATTGTAGAAAGTTTGAAGAAATATACCCCCCAGAAGTAGCAGAGTTTGTGTACATTACAGATGATACCTACACCAAGAAACAAGTTCTGAGAATGGAGCATCTAGTTTTGAAAGTCCTTACTTTTGACTTAGCTGCTCCAACAGTAAATCAGTTTCTTACCCAATACTTTCTGCATCAGCAGCCTGCAAACAGCAAAGTTGAAAGTTTAGCAATGGTGAGTTAACTTTCATTTTGTTGAACGGCGATTCTTAGGTAATGTAAGCCCTAATTCCTTTGTACAGGAACGTAGTTCCTTTGTACAGCATGGTGAAGAGATTTAGTATTCAGAGGGAGATTAATGCTGCAGTATGGAAGAAAGCCTGCTGCTGGCAAAAGATAATCTATATCAGGAAAGCACTAGAAGCAGAGGTCTAAGGATGACATCTTGGGGATGCGTAGTCAGAAGAATTGTTTTTTAAAAGTTAATAAAGGAGGGAAAATACAGGATGAGGATGGAACAAAACACTAAAATGATTGATATGTTTAAAGATGAGGCTGTGAAATATTTTTTTCTAGGGTTGCTACAGAGCCATTATCAAAGGCAGGAAAAAATTAGGTTAGAAGGCAGAGGTTTGGCATTTGAATTCTAAACGCTCTTGTGATCATAAAGTATTTTTTATTCCAGTTTTTGGGAGAATTAAGTTTGATAGATGCTGACCCATACCTAAAGTATTTGCCATCAGTTATTGCTGGAGCCGCCTTTCATTTAGCACTCTACACAGTCACAGGACAAAGCTGGGTATGTATTATGGTCTTCACACACCTATCTTGTGACTGAAATGCCTATGCCAGATTAAATAATAATTGTCCTACAAAACTGAGGGTTGCCTAGATGTTGTTACTTAGAAAAACTTCAAATATATACAGTTGACCTTTGAAAAATACAGGTTTGAACTGTGTGAGTCCACTTACTTACACATGGATTTTTTTCCAATTACATGTGGATTGAAACTACAGTATTCAGGGAATTCAAAACCCATATATATGGAAGGGTGACTGCAGGACTTGAATATGTACAGATTTGGGTATACTTGGGGAGGGTCCTGGAACCAATCCCTCATGGATACTGAGGGATGATTATATACTGTTTAAGGCATGTTACCTGTTGAACAGTAGCTTTTTGTTAGGTAGTAAGCTTAGTTGTAACTTGGATTGAAAGGTGAGCTTTTTAAAAAGCATCTGACCTGTTGCTGGCAGAGAAAGTAGTAAAACATGGATCGAGAGATGGAATAATGGCCTGAGAAGGCTAGTAGATGGAAAAGTTAAAGATTAGTACTGAAATTTAACATAAGCTTAATGCTAACTATTAACTGGTGTCTGTTACTAAAAGCACAACTCAGGGCTTCCTATTCCCTTCTCTGTAGCCTGAATCATTAATACGAAAGACTGGATATACCCTGGAAAGTCTTAAGCCTTGTCTCATGGACCTTCACCAGACCTACCTCAAAGCTCCACAGCATGCACAACAGTCAATAAGAGAAAAGTACAAAAATTCAAAGTAAGAATTAACTTGAATATTGAAGCTTACTTTTCTAGATTATTGTTCAGAGATCTTTGACATTTTAACTTCATTCATGAATCTGCCATAGCCTCCTTAAGAAGCTGTTCTCTTAATTGGTTATGTGTTTGAAGAAGGTTGCAGTTCATGCTTTCTGCCCTGGGTCTGGGGGAGGAGAGAGAAGGAAGAGGGGCATGCATGTGTGTTTCAGGGACCAATGTTTCTAAAACCATCAACTCGGTCAGAGAGAAATAGCATTTTTTAGTTCCCAATACATGAGTACAAACATTATTCCATGATCTCCTTTACCCAGTGACTGTTTACTAAACATGTTTTTGGTTTTTTTTTTCCTACTTACAGGTATCATGGTGTTTCTCTCCTCAACCCACCAGAGACACTAAATCTGTAACAATGAAAGACTGCCTTTGTTTTCTAAGATGTAAATCACTCAAAGTATATGGTGTACAGTTTTTAACTTAGGTTTTAATTTTACAATCATTTCTGAATACAGAAGTTATGGCCAAGTACAAATTATGGTATCTATTACTTTTTAAATGGTTTTAACTTGTATATCTTTTGTATATGTATCTGTCTTAGATATTTGGCTAATTTTAAGTGGTTTTGTTAAAGTATTAATGATGCCAGCTGTCAGGATAATAAATTGATTTGGAAAACTTCGCAAGTCAAATTTAACTTCTTCAGGATTTCACTTAGAATCTAAGTTTACTTGGTTTACTATATAATGGGAAGTGAAAACCTTCCTCTAACATTAAAGTAGGTTTAGGAAAACAGACCCTCAAATTCTAACATTCATTTTCCTAAGCAACTGGATCAATTTGCTGATGGGCATAATCTAAGCATATCTGAATACAGACTTTTTCACTCTTTGTAAAACCTGTTTAGGTTCTGCAAACTAAACAGAGGCTGGAAGCGGAAGAGGGTGGGAAGCTTACGTGCAAATTAACAGACGAGAAATGCTCCAGAAGGTTTATTATTTTAAAGCATAACATTAAAAACAAAAAACTATTTTTAAAACCCTGCTAGATTTTATAATGGATTTGTGAATAAAAAATACCCAGGGTTCTTAGAATGAATAAATATCCTTTTAATAGTTATATATACAAATATACAACTGTTAGCTTTAATTGGCAGCTCTCTTCTTTTTTCTTCTTTTCACTGGCTTTTTACTTGGTGCTTTTTCTTGTTTTGCACTGGTGGTCTGTGTTCTGTGAATAAAGTAAGAATTTACTAAGCGTATGCTTGTTAAGTTTTGGATTATTGAAATAAGAGGCATTTCTTAGTTTTCCAATAGGATATAAAATGTGTAAGACTGGCATCGAAAGAGTTCTATAGATTTTGGTCCTAATTTTTATAAATCACAAGGTAAAGAAATCACAGAACAGATGGATCGCTAATGAAAAAGGGACGTCTTTTTGTTTATAGTCATGTGGCAAGATGAGAGTAAAACCAGAGAGCAAACCTCTAGAAGTGTTGAATATATATATATATACATTTGAAATAAACCAGAAATGTGTTACCTTATTTTCTTTGGATTCTTGTCTGGTTCCAAAATGATCATTTCTTCTTCTTCACTATCTGAGAGTATTATGGGAGCATCTTTTTTTTTAAAAAAAAAAAAAAAAAAAAAGGGTAAGCAATCTCTTCCAATATTTATTTCTGCACGAGTTTATTTCTATCAGACGTTCTAAAACTTTTATTGCTGGGGCTGGGGCTGGGCTGGGCGTGGTAGCTCACACTTTTAATCCCCGTATTTTAGTAGGCTGAGGTCATTTTGGTCACCTGAGGTCAGGAGCTCGAGTCCAGCCTGGCCAACGTGGTGAAACACCATCTCTATTAAAAACAGAAAAATTAGCCAGTTGTGGTGGCATGTGAAACACCATCTCTATTAAAAACAGAAAAATTAGCCAGTTGTGGTGGCATGTGCTTATAGGCCCAGCTACTCATGAGGCTGAGGCATGAGAATCACTTGAACCAGGGAGGTGGAGGTTGCAGTACCACTGTCCTCCAGTCTGGGTGACAGAGGAAGACTCCATCCCAAAAAATAAATAAAAATAAGACTATTTGCATATAATAGCCCACGCCACTCTTTAGGTGGAGGCTTACTCTTCTCCTTAAATCAGCTTCTTAGAGCACTCTAGAACTCGTCTGTAACATTTGTTTCTTTAAACTCTTATTTCCTACAGGTGCTCGAATGGCGTGACAATTTGGTACATGTCATAATAGAAAAGTTAGGGGGAAATCTATATAGCATCTTTTGTAGAGACAATTGAATTGTTTGTGCTACTCTATTCCTCCAGAAATAGTTCCGGTTTACATTCCAATAAATAAAAGAACCCATTTCCCATATACCTTTGGCATTGCTGGTATTTTTAATACTGCCCTAAATACAGTAACAAAAAATGCCATGTCATTTTTCTTTGGATTTTATTTGTATTACTATCAGGGCTGACCATGAAAAGTATTACTGGCCATTTGTACATTTTGAGTACTGCTCCCTGTCTTTTGCCCATTTTTCTCCTGATCATTAGTTAATGATATACATAAAATGTGAATTAACCCATATCAATTCTTTGTATTTTTAGTTTTCAGTTAGTTTCTCCCTTTCTTCACATGCTTTAGAAAGGCTGTACCTGCTCCATTTTTCCAATTCTTAGGTCCACCTTCATTATATTCAATTGAAAATACTATTTATTCACTGTTAGAAGAACGCACTAAACAAACATATAAGGTATATGCAAGTGCAAGGATATTGTTAACAGTGAAAAAATGGAAACAACTTACATCTTCAACAATAAGAGAATTGTTAAACCAACTAGTTATATTCAATGCTACATAAGTCTATGCAGCATTAGCTTACATCACTGCACAGAGAGTAAATACCTGGGACAAGTATTTGGAAGAATTATACCAAATAGAAGTAACCACTGGGAAATTTGAGTAAGGGTCCCAATCAATGGGAAATTTTTTCCTTACCTATTAAGTAAAAAAACAAAAAGCTCAGGCTCTAGTAGTGTTCATAATTTCTCTCTTTGAAAACAGAAGTATTGGTCTTACATTCCTACTAAACATATCACCTTCAGTTTTCCCTGCCAGCCTAGTTCCCAGTTCCTTGTAGGATTTCTGTTCTTACCACATAAGAAAATAAGTCATTATTCTATTATATAGACCAGCAAGAATTTGCTTTTTTTTTTAAGTGAAAATAACCATACACAAAAACAACTTCTTCAGTTCTATGGCTTTCAAAATGCAAGTAACGTCTAGAACTATCAGTATTCTAGTCACTGCTAGAATTTTTTTATGTTCTAATACTGCAATGTCTAGTATGGTAGCCACTAGCCACATGTGGCTGCTTAATTTTGTATTAAATAAAATTTAAAATTCAGTTCTCAGTAATAACAAACCACATTTCAAGTGTTCAATAGCCACGTGGGGCTAGTGGCTGCTATACCAGTGTAATGTTTCTATCCCAGAAAGTTTTATTTAGACAGTATTACATGTTCTGATAAAGGATGGGCTTTTTGTTTCAGTCTAGAAACCACAAAAAAAGACAGCACGGAGGAATAAGATCTTCCAGAAACTCATTCCCTTAAAACCCACCCAAATACATTACAAAAAAAAATTTTTTTTAATTAAAAATGTCACTATCATTTTATGCCAAAGTGTATGTACCACTACTCTACAAAGATATGCATATTCTTTTAGAAAGTAGTGTTAGTACTGCAGTTAGCCACAATAATTTAGTTGAAATTTAAATCACAATATTTAGCCCCTCTAAAAATGCAATACTTATATCCCTATATTTAACTATATATCTATATTCTCTCTATATAGTATCCTATATGTTATTTATCTAGTATACATCTCTATATAGCTGATATGCTATATATTACTATATATAGTGATAATATAAATTAATATACACATTTTATGCATTATTATATATATAACTATATGGTAATACTATATATATGTAATATATAGTGATAAGTGTGCCACAAAGTGTCACCTACCTTGGCTTCCAATATCAGAGACTACTACTCCAGTGTCCATTTTTATACTATCAAGAATGATAGCTTCATCACCACCGCCTTCATCATCTTCCTTCTCAGAGTCTTCAAGATCACCCCAGGAGTTTTCTACTCCCTCTCCAATTTGGGCAGTTCCAGGACTCCACAGCACAGGTGTAGAAACACTTAACAAGTTAAGAAAACTGAGTAACAAAAATATTGCTATTTGATGGACTGTTGAAAAAGATGAAAATGAAAGTTTTCTTCTTGTAAGATTGATTCAAGTGTGCCTCAAGTTCCTAGGGAAAAAAACAACTTAATATAGCTACACTATGGATGGCTGAACAATGAGGAAGAAAAAATAACTCAGGCAAGATTTTATGGATGCAATTAATAATAAGAAATGTGAAGAGACAGCTTCAACATTTTAGTTACAGTACTAAATTAAATTGGTCCTTAAAACACAATCTGGTTTTTCCAGGATAACTGAAGAGAAGCTGAATGTTATACCATCAACAGAATATGACTCACATCACTATCTTGTATTTTAAGTGTTTTCTCTAACAAAGTACAGTGTTTACAAAAACTAATTTCAGTATACACATCCTTCATATAGCCTAATATTATAATGCCAAGTGTTATGAATCTTGTTACTGCAAAAACCACCAAATAAAGATACACTTCTGAAGGAGGTTCTGCTTCAGCAATGATTTCTTCTGCTTTTTCTTCTACATCCGAGGTATCAATAGGGGCCTTTTCCATTTTAAATGCTGTAATCCTTTGATTTGCTATAGACTCTGCAAAACCAAACTTTCCACCTTCTTTCCTGTATGTGGGGGTTTTTTTGGTGGGAAGGAAGCGGGAGGAAGGTAACAGATTAGACAGAAGACAGGAAGGGAAAAAAACTATTATTTTATCCTTTGGTGGATGAAAAATATTGAAAGAGAGTTAGTTTATCTAACTTAACCTCACCAATTTATTATGCCTAACAAGAGCCAATAGCATAATCATTTATTAAACCATGTGCCAGACCATGTGCTAGGTGCTTAAAATACACTATTCTCTAACCCTCAAATCAGCCCTACCAGGTGGTGTTAATATCCCATATTATAGAAGAGGACACTGAAATGCTGGGTTATATATCTTGCTTAAGATAGCACAGTAAGAAGTAGAGATGGGAATCAACCTGTTTCCTTACATTAATTTGAGTTACTAGATTATTTTTATCCTAAGAAAATGTTAACTGTTAAAGAAAAATCTTATGTCTCCAGGTGTGGTGATTCATACCTGTAATCCTAATATTTTGGGAGGCCCAGGTGGGTGGATCACCTGAGGTCAGGAGTTTGAGACTGGCCTGACCAACATGGCGAAACCCCATCCCTACTAAAAATACAAAAATTAGCCGGGCATGGTGGTATGCACCTGTAATCTCAGCTATTCGGGAGGCTGAGGCAGGAGAATCACTTGAAGCCATAAGGCAGATGCTGCAGTGAGCCAAGATTGCACAAATGCACTATAGCCTAGGTGACAGAGTGAGACTCCATCTCAAAAAACAAACAAAAATCTTACATGATTTTTCAATATAGGTTATATTTAAATTGCAGAAAATATAGTAAGTCCAATCAACTTTCTAAAAACACACTAAGTAGTACACTCAATTGCGATTAACAAATAAGGAAAGATCAAGTGTGAAGTTTATATGGTTGCCCTTGTTCAAGGAAAATCCTTAAGAGAAAAAATACATTAAAAGACCATTTAGGGCCATTTCCTGTTCCCTGTGTTGTGTCTCGGGGCCTGGAGCAATGAAGACCTCTTGCTCTTAGATGGGTCTTTCCTCTTCATTGTTTTGGAATTCTGGACTTGACCCAGCGTTAAATTCCCATCTGTGATGCATTTTGCAATAAGTAGGTTTGATGCCAACACCCTGAAAGATATCCTCATAAAACAAGAATCACCAGCTCCCACACAAAGTAAAAACTGTGAACCTAATTTTAGCAGTGTTAATAAGGAGCAACTATCCACGAGTCACTGCATCAATAATGCCTGTGTTATAACATCCTCTCCTCCCTAAGGCACAGCAGCAAGTGACACATACTTGTCTGGAAACCAGTTTCATTAATACTTTTATTGTGTCTGTCCAAAGATGAGTAGCAATATCTGTTACCAGTTTCACTACCTTTCGGAGTTTTGGATAACATATCTATACCATGGTATTTACACTTTTTAATGAGTTAATTTTAAGTGAAATTGCCATTCTAACTTTGTGAAATCAAGTTCATGCATAATAAAGTTTGCCTATACTAAAAAAAAAAAAGTAAATATTTTAAAAATGAAAATAAAAGACCATTTAGTTCTGGAAAAGTTACTTACCTTACTTTTTGGTCATTCTCCAAAGCTTTCAATATTAGCTCTGTAATTTCTGCTACTTTCACACCAGCGATTTTACTGCATCTCAAAACCTATTTATAAAAGTGAATTATGTTGTTTAAAGACAGTAAACCAAATGGTTTTCTCTA